CACAGCACATAGGGAGGCATTTCCCAGCATTTCTTGGAAACCTGGCTTTCACAGGACATAAAGGAGTGCTATAAGGTGGGGGTAGCGGGGAGGAATTCTGAGGTCAAATAACTGGGAAACACTGGGTTAAATAACATTGAAGCAGGTTTCTCTTCTGCAGGACTCCTCAGAGCATTGAGCAGAGTCATGCACTTTGAAATCCCCAATGAGGCATGGAGTCAACAGCGTTTCCTAAACCTCTCTGTCCTGGGAAAGGAAAATCTGCATCCAAACATAAGGCATCGTCCACACAGCAGGGAAACCACATACAATCACCAAGGTCAGCCTCAGCTGCGAGTTCTAAATATTCACTCCCAAACCTCTGCATTGTAGCAATTCTCGCCTTTCCTGCTTTATCCCAAATGGCAACTTAGAAACTGCAGCCACTGCTACTCTGCCATCTTCCTTAATGGCACCATTCATCCCTGCTGCATGAAGCCAATATCCAGGTTTAAGTTCAAGGTGTTAGATAATCTTCTGAGGCTGAATGAAGAGAGTCACCTTCTCAGGATTGAGGGAGTTTGCCCTCCCCACTCCCATGCTGAAGCAGGTCTTGAACACAAGTGGGCAGAATTAGGTATCCCTTCTCAACCAGGTTTCTCATCTGAGTTCAGTAAATTTCCAGAAAGCCAGCTTTCTTGGGTCCTGCAATTGCCCTTTTGTATGTTTATGCAGTTTTTTAAAAAGCCATGCTGTTTAGAGGCTGTAACTAAGAGATGTAAGAAAAGGTCAGGATCTAGGACAGAACAAAAGCCTTAGCAATTTTTTGAGGCCCTGGGGAAGGGGCTGAAGGGATTGTTCCAGAAGACCTGACCTCTAAAGTTCACAGTAAAGCAAATGCAAATAAGTTATACCCTTCTGTTGCTGCCACCTCCCAGAATGGCAAATAATTCCATCTCAGATGGTGATCAGATAAATGACTCTCACTTCACGTGCAAGCTTACCCTGAGTCCTTTATTCTCAAGGGCACTGAGGAAACTGAGGATTTTTCCTGAACTCTTTTAACTAGAATGAAGAAAACAGTCCCAAGATGACCACGAGACAGGAACAACTGGTGCCAATGAATCTTTATTAAGCACCTACTATGGGATGGATGCATATAGTCCAACAGCTGGAGAGAAGAGCCAACTGCACAAATGCATATGGCTGGGATAAATCCAACCCAGCCCTGGGACCACCACAAGCTCCTCCAGACTGTCTGCTCAGCTGGAGTTTGGGAAACTCAGCAATGTCTGTGTAAGGAATCTGATGCACCCAGCCCTATCAACCCTGTCTGAAGACTGCAGCTGCAGCAAGGCCCTTAGAACTACTTACTTAAGTATGAAGTTAGAAGTGGGTTCATCTTTCATCAACACACTTGAAGGCAGTAGGCACTGGAGACAGCAGAAGAAAGGCTGACCCAGCTCTATGGGTGGGTAAGGTGGACCGCTGCCTGGGAAGCAGGGGGCCTGGCTGCAAAAACTATGGCGTGGCAGGTAGCTCAGAACTTTGCACGTCCCTGGATCTTAGCTTTTTTGGTAGGGCCTGGGTGTGGGGGAGCAAGGATGTTGAGGAAGAGAGGCAGCCTGCTATGGCAGGCTGGGGGTCACCAGCCTTGTCTTTACCCCTGACAGGCTGGGTGACCTCACCAAGTCATTTCCTCTTTCTGACCTCAGCTTCCTTATCAGTAAAAAAAATGAGATGGTTGTTCTAGATCTGTTGATTGGGATCTTTTTTAATTGTTGTATTTTGTAAAATTCATATAACATAAAACTTGTCATTACTGACATTTAGTACATTCACAATGTTGTGTGACCATCACCACTATCTAGTTCCAGGACATTTTCATCACCTCAAAAAGAAGTCCTGCACCCATTAAGCAGTCACTCCCCATTATCCCCTCCCCCTTACCCCTGGCAACCACTAATCTGCTATCTGTCTCTGTCTCTGTGGATTTGCCTATTCTTAATATTTCATATAAATGGAATCATACAATTATGTGGTCTTTTGTGACTGGCTTCTTTCACTTAGCATAATGTTTTCAAGGTTCATCCATGTATCAATACTTCATTCTTTTTTCTGGCTAGATAATTTCATTGTAGAGATATACCACTTTTATCCATTCATCAGTTACCAATTATGGACATTTGAGTTGTTTCCACCTTTGGGCTATTGTAAAGAGTCAAACATTCAATGAACATATGTGTACAACAATCTATTTGAGTATCTGTTTCCAATTCTTTGGGGGTATATATCCAGGAGAAGAATGGCTGGGATATAGGGTGTTATGGACTGAATGTCTGCAACCTCCCAGATTCATGTGTTGAAGTCCTAACCTCCAATGTGATGGTATGTGGACGTGGGGCCTGTGAGAGGTAATTTAAGTTTAGATGAGGTCATGAGGGTGGGGCCCCCATGGTGGGATTAGTGTCCTTATAAGAAGAGAAAGAGACCAGCGATCTCCCTCCCAACCCCCTACTCCTGCCCACCCGTGTGAGGACACAGTGATCTGTAAGTCAGGAAGGGTGTCCTCACCAAGAACCTAACCCTGATCTTATACTCCCAGCCTCCAGAACTGTGAGAAATAAATGTCTGTTGTTTAAGTATGGTATGGTATTTTGTTACAGCAGCCTGAGCAGACTAAGACGTATGGTAATCTATGCTTAACTTATTACAGAACCACCACACTATTTTCCACAGTGGCTGCATCATTTTTCATTCTCACCACCAAGGTTTGAGGGTTCTATTTCCTCCTCATCCTCACCAAACTGATAATATCTTTAAGCAGGAAGGGAATTTAGTAGTAAAACCTTTTCTTCTAATGAAATCTTTCTTGGAAAGCTACTATAGTAAAACAGATCAAAGAGAAACTGCTGGGGTGGAGGTAATAGCACATCTGAGGAACCCCCTAGGGTTTGAAGAAACACAGTTTGAAGAAACACAGTTTGAAAACCATTTGCTCCAGGTGGGTTTGTTATATCCTTCCTGGCTTAGTATCTGAATATCCCATCTTGATCCCCTTCCAAGGTCCATCCTGGTCTCTGGAGGTTTGGCTTAGAGAGGACTCTCCCCATCTCTATTCTATACTTTTAGGAAAGGCCTGAGATTACAGTGCTCTTCAATGTGTGGTATAGGGCCAGCCACCAATGAAGGAATCAGCTGGTTCCTTTTATTTTTTGGCCGCGCTCCGCGGCATTTCAGATCTTAGTTCCCTGACCAGGGATTGAACCCACGCCCCCTGCATTGGCAGCTCGGAGTCGTGACCACTGGACTGCCAGGGAAGTCCCAGCTGGTTCTTGTTAAAATAAAAATTCTGGGATCCCACCCCACACTTGGAGAATGGGAATCTTTGGGGAAGAACTCGAGATTTTTGCATTTTTTTACATACTTCCTAGATGATTTTGATGCCCCCAAATCTGAGAACCACTGAACTGGAAGGGACTGAGAGGTGAGGGTTAGGAGAGTAAACACCTAAGATTGATAAGGCCACCGTCTTACTGAACTGTTGTGAGCTTCCTCCTCTGCTCTTTGAGTGGGAGAGAGAAGTTGGAGTTTACTTTGGGATCCAAGTGCCAACTGGGGCTACCCAAAGGTCATATTGGCACCACCTCTGGCCCACAGGACGGGGACGTTCCAAAAGATAAGGACACTCTTATGACCTCAGGAACTGCGCAGAGTGTTCAAGCATTTCCAAGTACTATTTTTTTTTAATGATGGTTATTATGGTTACTTTTTGAAATTTAAAAATATAACACATCAGTAATAAAGCAATGACTGTTTATGTGAGTTTTTGTAGCATTAAGCCATGCCTTCTTTGTGCTGAGAATCAACATTATTTACTTTGAGAATCTTTCTGTCAACTCATTTACACACAGTTTCTCCTCCCAGACTTGTGACTCAATGAAGTTTTCCCCATCTGGGGCAGGGAACAAGGAAAACTGTCATCTATAGACCCAGCTTAGTGCACTGAGTTTGTAAGGATCATCAAAGGCCCCCTACCCCAGTTACACCCCAAGAGGAGGAACCCCCTCTTCAGGCTCTACTGGGATTCATCCAAGAATGAGTAGCTCCTCACCTGCTTTGGTTACCCATTGCTACATAACAAATCTTACCAAAAGTCAGTGACTTGATACAAAAACTATTTTATTATTAGTTCTCACCAGTCTTTGGATTGGCTGAGCTCAGCTTAGCAGTTCTGCTACTTGTGATGTTGGTTGAGGCTGCAGCCAATTGGGGGCTCGACTGGGCTAAAGAGTTGGGCTGCAGGGTCCAAGCTGGCTCACTCACATGGCTGAGAGCTGATGCTGGCTGGCAGCTGGGAGCTCAGCTGGGGCTGTTGGCTGAAATGTCGACACATAGCCTCTTCATGTGTCTTGGGATTCCCACAATATGGCAGCTGGGCTAGGAGAGGGAGTATCCTAAGAACAAGTGTTCCAAGCACTGATTTGGCTCTAAGGTCTTGGATAAATTACTTAATCTCTTGGAGTCTAAGCTTCTCCATCTTCCAAATGAAGATAATACCTTCCCTATCCGATTACTGTGAAGACTAAATGAGACAATATATGTAAAGTCCTTCACACAGTGCCCCTAAACAAGAGTGGTTTATGATCATGGCCACACCAACACTTAATCCTGGAGCATCCTTGATAGTACATGCTGAGTGTCTCCATTCTTTCTCCCTGGTTCATACAAATTGCTGAGCTGTCACTCCTTACTTGAAGAAAAGGAGATTGCCTTCTTTATTGGGGTCCTGTAGGACTAGATGCAGAAATCAGAAACTATGACATGACTCCTTGGAATGTACCTTTTTTTAATAAATTTATTCATTTATTTTTGACCATGTTGGGTCTTCGTTGCTGTAAGCAGGCTTTCTCTAGTTGCTGCAAGCGGGGGCTACTCTTCATTGTGGTGCACGGGCTTCTCATTGCAGTGGCTTCTCTTGTGGAGCACAAGCTCTAGGTGCACGGGCTTCAGTAGTTATGGCACGAAGGCTCAGTAGTTGTGGCTCACAGGCTCTAGAGTGCAGGCTCAGTAGTTGTGGCACACTGGCTTAGTTGCTCTGTGGCCTGTGGGATCTTCCCCGAAAAGGGCTTGAACTGGTGTCCCTTGCGATGGCAGGCAGATTCTTAACCACTGTGCCACCAGGGAAGTCCTGGAATGTATCTTAAAGGGAAAAAAAATATCTTACAAGTATTCAAAGATATTTGAATGTTCTTTGCAGCAATGTGCATAACATCTTATCAATAGAAGCTTATCAACCTAAATATCTATCAATAAGGGATGGAATATGATACATCCATATTCTACTGGATATTTGTTGCTTTTAGAGTATCTAGCATCTGATCATCCTTCCTTTTAAGGGAAAATTCTAAAATAAGAAAGAAGCACCCCTGCTTTCCACTACAGAAGCAGGAAGAAGGCGGATATGCCTACTCCCTGCTCCCTGGAAGGCAAGGTACAAGTGTGTGAGCTGAGTGCCCAGTGTGATGCTCCTGCCTAAGGTTTTGCCCACAAAGACACAGGGACAGTTAGTGCCTTTCAAGATTGCCATGTTGGCAGTGGAGCCTAGATTCCAGCAACATAGAGGTAAGTGTCTGGTGGGGCAGAGCTGCCTCAATGAGCTAGACTACTCACCTTGGAACTGTTACGTGTGAGAGAAATAAACTTCTATATTCATTAACTCACTCTTAGTTGAGCTTTCTTTGTTATGGTATCTTAACTTATCCTAATTATGGTGATTTTAGAACATGGCCACAAATTCTCTGATACTCCTCCCATTGAGAAGTAGAGAGTATGTCCCCTCCTTTTGAATCTGGGCAGGCTTGTGACCACTTCAATCAATGGACCTTGGTGGAAGTGACTTCCAGGGCTAGGTCATGAAAGGCCATGCAGCTTCCTCGCTGCTTGCTAGGACACCAGCTCCTGGAGCACTGAGCCATCTTGTAAGAAGTCAGACTACCCAGAGGCCGCCACACTGGAGGAAGCCCAAGCCATGTAGAGAGACCTCATATAGGCACTCTGATCAAGAGTCCCACTCAGCTCATAGTCCAACTCATGTCATCCCAATCTCCAACATGTGCATGAAGAAGCCTCCAGATGATTCCACCCCCACCCCACCCCAGCCTTTCATTTCACTCCTAGTTTGAGTTTTCCCAGCTGAGGTCCCAGATACTGTGGCATCATCCCTGCTGTTCCCTATTGGAATTCCTCACCCACAGAATTTATAAATATATTAAAATGGTGATTCTTTTATTCCACTAAGTCTTATGGGTTGTTACACAACAATAGCTAATGGAACTCTAAACTGACATATCGTAGATTCTATGGGCTATCCAATACCCTTCAAAAAATTTCCTTTTTTGCTAATTAAGTTAACCATGGTTTGTTTCTGTTGTTGCCATCAACAGTCTCAGTTGGTAGATATACAATGAAACACTATGCAACCCTTAAGCTGAGTTAGCTCTATATTAACTGTCACAGAAAGATGTTCGCAATGTAGTTTTAAGAGAAAATGGCAGATTCAAAAATAGTAGGTACAGAATGGTTACAGTTCTGTAAAATAAAATTATTTTTCATAAATTTATTTATTTTATTTATTTATTTTTGGTTGCATTGGGTCTTCGCTGTTGTGTGCGGGCTTTCTCTAGTTGCGGTGAGCAGGGGTTACTCTTTGTTGCGGTGCACGTGCTTCTCATTGTGGTGGCTTCTCTTGTTGCGGAGCATGGGCTCTAGGCATGTGGGTTGCAGTAGTTGTGGCTTGCAGGCTCTAGAGCGCAGGCTGAGTAGTTGTGGCGCACGGGCTTAGTTGCTCCGCGGCATGTGGGATCTTCCCGGACCAGGAAGATCCCCTGAATTGGCAGGTGGATTCTCAACCACTGCACCACCAGGGAAGCCCCAAAATTGTTATTTTTGCATAGAATAAATTCTAAGATGCTATGTACCAAAATTATACAGTATTGTCTTTAGGGATAGGAATTGTAGGTTTTTTTCTTATGCTTACCTGTATTTTCTATTTATAATGAAGCTCATTACAGTTACATGTGTAATTTTTAAACTAAGAATATTAAAAAAAAATAAAGCCAGGGTTATAGATACAGAAATTTAAGAATGCCTGGAATACTTCTCCACCCCTGGGGATTTTGCACATTTGCCAATGAGAGGCCTTGCAGCACAATCTTTGGGGAGTGGTAGCCCCATTAGGCAGTGTAGTAGCCCCTAATAATTTCTCCCATTCCTATAAATGTATGCTGTTCCTCACATCAAGAAGTATGGTTTATTTCCCCTTTCCTTAATCTGGGCTGTCCCTGTGACTGCTTTGCCAGTGGAATGCAGCATAAGCTGTTGGAGGACTTCTGATCTCAAGTCTTAGAAGATTTGGCAGCTTCTGTTTCCTTGCTCTTACACACTTGTTCTTGGGATGTTCCCTCTCAGAACCTAGCCCAAGCCACGTGCAAAGGTCGCATGAAGCAGAACCAAGACGTTCCCATTGGCAGCCTTAGGTGAGCTCCTAGCCAACAGCCAGCACCAGCTGCCAGCCATGGGAATAAGTCATTTGGGATTCCAGCCCAGTTGAGCCCCGAAGACTGCAGGTCCAACAGACATCATGTGGGACAGAAGAAACACCCAGCTGAGCCCTGTTAACCCACAGACTCATGAGAGATATTAACATGGTGGTTGCTTTAAACCAATGAGTTTGGGGGCCTCCAAGATGGCTCCACTGATCCCCACCTCTTGATATTTACACCTTGTATAGTCACTTTGCACACTGTACCAGGGCTCGTCTGTGTGACCAATAGAATAGACCAGAAGTGATGTACACAGTAGGTTACTTCCAAGATTAGATGATGGAAGACCTCATGGCTCTTGTCTTGTCCACTCTCTCAGGTCACTCTTCATGTTCTGAGCAGCCCCTGGGAGACAGGTCCACACAGGATGACCAACTTGTCCCCAGGTTGCCCAGGACTGAAGTTTTAGACTGAAATTCTCACATCCTGAGAACGCCCTTAGTCCTGGGCAAACCAGGATGACTGGTCACCCTACGCCTATGTGGTGAGGAAGTGAGGCTTCTGGACAACAGGGAGCAAGAAACCAAGGTCTCCTACCAACAGCCACATGAGGGAGGCATCTCAGGAGCAAATCTACCAGCCCCAGTCAAGCCTTGGGCCAACTGCAGCCCCAGCCAACAGCTCAACTGCAACCTCGTGAAAGACCCTGATCCAGAGCCACCCAGGTAAGGTGACCCCCAGAGACTGTGAGACAATAAATATTGATTATTTTAAGCTGCTCAATGTGGGGTAGTTTTTTAAACAGCAATAGGTAACTTATGCAGGTGGTCTGATACCCCCTAATAGTTAACAGGAACAGGGGTGGCTAACAGATATTGATCTCCCCCTGTTTTAAACAGTTGTGATGGTCTTTCTGTTTGGGGATTTCTTTTCCTTTCCTGAAAATCAACCTGAGGGAATTCTGCTTCTAGAATTCCTGAAGAACAGTGCCTGGCAGGGCCCCTGGTTGCTGCTGCTTGAGCTCATTCCAACTCTTAATTGTTTTCCAAGCTTTAACAATGAATCTCTTGGGCTCACAAAGTCCTCCTGCCTCTCCATTTCTGAATGCTCTGTGAGGCTGTCCTGATTTCCCTGAAGGCCTGAGGTGCTTACCTGGGCTGCTTAAATCACCTTCTCTGCTAGAAAGTATCCCTTGATCTCTGGCAACATGGATATCTGTGTGCAGAGAGCAATGCACGGGGCACATGGTCTGTCAGATATGCAGATATCCTGTGGGGGCCTGAGGGGTCTTAAACTAAAATCTCTTCTAACCAGGCACCAAGGTTTCTGAGATTTCACCTTTCAAGTGTGATTAATTCATTTGGGAGGCACAAATTATCCACTAGCACCTTCTTCTGAATGAGTTTATTGAAGACATTCTGCCCTGCCCAGGATAGCATAAGAGTACAGTAGTTGGAACTTAATCCAGGGAATCACAAAAGGCAGGTGGGATCTTGAAAAGCTGACCTTGGTCCACTTCCTAATATGTTAGACTGACTCTATGTACAGTTAGGTTGCAGGGCTGCACGTGTGCAGAGCACCCAGCGTGCTCACTGGCAGGCTACCGTGTGCACCCAGAGAACCAGAGACACATTGCAGAGTAAATGAAGGTACATGTACCATTCACTGACCTATTAGATCCCCGGGGCCACCGTAGCAAAGTGCCACAAGCTGGGTGGCTGAAAACAACAGAAAGGTATTCTCTCATAGCCCTGGAGGCTAGATGTCCAAATTAAGGTGTCAGCAGGGCTAGTTCCTTCTGAGAGCTGTGAGGGTAAATCTGTTCCAACCTTCTACCCTAGCTTCTGGTGGTTTGCTGGCAATCGTTGGCATTGCTTGGCTTCTTGATGCATCACCCCGATCTCTTCCTTCAAGTTCAGATGGCACTCTCCCTTTGTGTCTGTCTCTGTGTCCAAATTTCTCACCCTAATTACCTCACCTTAACTTCATCATCTGCAAAAACCTTATTTCCAAATAAGGTCATATTCATAGGCACCATAGGACTTCAACATCTCCTGGAAGAATACACTTCAACCCATAACACTGAGCAGTTAGTAAAAAGTTAATATCCATGAAATGCCAGGCACTTGCCATGATAGTAATTTTATCTACATTATTTCTAATCCTCCCAAAGAGTTCCCAATTTTATACGCCAGGAACTGAGGAGCAGAAAGATTACAGGGCTTGTCCTAACTCACACAGCTGGAAAGAAAGTATAGGCTCTGGAATCAGATAGCCTGGTTTCACCACTTAGCTGGGAGGTCTTGGGTAAGTTACTTAATCCTTCTGTGCCTCAGTTTCCTCATTTGTAAAATGAGGATAACAACAATCATACCTCCATCCATATAGAGTTGTTGTAAGGATTTTAAAAGATGTACAGAGCCTGGTACATAGTAATTACTGAACTCATGGTAGCTGTTATCCTAGTTGTAGAGTCAAGTGAAATAAGACAGAAGGGGAAAAACAAAAGCCATGTGATATCACTCATATGTGGAATCTAAACAAAGAAAAAAAACAAAACAAAAACAGACTCACAGACTCAGAGAACAAATTAGTGGTTACCAGAGGGGAAGGTGTTTGGGGGGTGGGTGAAATAGGCGAGGGGGCGTCAATCGTATGGTGGTGGATGGTAACCAGACTTTTGGTGATGATTGCTTTGTAGTGAACACAGATGTCTTATCATAAGAAAAGTAGTGGAGTCAATATTTAAATCCACATCTCCTTAGCTCAATACCTTCATTTATTCCTCTGATTCAGCATAGCTGGGTGTCAGGTACTTCTGCATCCATGGTCTCACTGAATCCTCACAATACACGAGGAGGTGAACACTTGTGGTTATAACATTATAGATGAGGGAACTGAGACACAGAGAGGGGAGGTGACTGGACCAAGGTCACCCAGCAAATAAAACATTCTCATCTAGCTCTGCTGCTTCTAATATTTCTTCCACTATGTTATCTGTCATCCCAACGTATAGACATAATAGAGTAGAACATTTTCCTCTACGAAGGTTTGCTGATAACCTCAGGATGCAAGGTAATCAGCCAAGATTATGAGTTCGGTCAGTGGCCTCCCTCAAGTCTACGGCAGGCAAAGGGTTCTGTTTCCATAAAGGTCAGCTCCTGCCAGGTCCAGAAAGCCCAGCACAGAAGATCTGCTGTTAATTCTGAATTCTTCAGAAGCAAGAACTCTTACACACACACACACACACACACACACACACACACACACACAAATGCTTATGTGAGGCCTCACCCCAGGACATAGAAACAAACCACTGAAAGAGGATGGAATAAATAAGACTTTTTAGTGAGAAGGCCTGAAAAGTGAGAACCAGCTGCCAGGCCCAATCCAAAATTCCCTGGCAAACCAGCCCTAGGGTAGAGACGATTCCAAAAGACAAAACCAAAAACATATGCAAAAACTCTGGAGATGAATTCCCTCGGCTTTCTTCGGCAGGATAGAAAGAGAACAAAAGTAGCTAAGTTCTCTGGCTGTGTCATCCCCTGGTCTTCCCTCCACCCCCTCTGCCCCAGCCACCCTTCCAAACACAATTCAGCCCTACAAATATCCAAGGAGAGCCAACACCCACAGGCCTCATCTGGCCCATAGTTTTTACGTATTGTAGTGGTCAACATTTTAAAAGTGAGAAGTTTTGGGACTTCTCTCATGGTCCAGTGGGTAAGACTCCGTGATCCCAATGCAGGGGACCTGGGTTCGATCCCTGGTTGGGGAACTAGATCCCACATGCATGCCACAACTAAAGAGTTTGCATGCCGCAACTAAGTCCGCATGCCACAACTAAGAAGCCCATATGCCACAACTAAAAGATCCCGCATGCTGCAACTAAAGATCCTGTATGCCTCAAATAAAGATTCTGCATGCTGCAATGAAGATCCCATATGCTGCAACTAAGACCTGGCACAGTCTAAATATATATATATATATATATATATATATATATATATATATTTTTTTTTTTTTTTTTTAAGTGAGAAGTTTTCCCTAAGAATCTGGATTTTTTTTTAACTTCTTTTGAAAAATCAAAGGTTCTGGCCAAGTGGCTTCATATCCCTGAATGGTAACTATGACAAAGTTGAGTAGTGGCTGCCTCCAATTTGATTATTTTTATACCCAGACAATTTGACTCACTTATCATCCCTGCCTGACCCCTGTTGGAATCTTTTTCACTCAGGCCAGGTGAGACTTTCCCTCTGCCTATCAAGTGAAACAGATCTAATCTCACCCTGGCAGTCAAACACCCTTCACAGCACAGCTTACTGAGACTTACCCCTGTGACTATACCTCATTCCGAATCTATCTACTCCTTCATGCCCAAACAGGTCCCTTACCTTCCCACATTCACACATTTGCTGGTGCTTTTTTATTTCCTCTAAGATGCCTTCCGTCCCAACTGGACCTGGGGACTCTCCCACACCCTCAAAGGTCCATGTGAGGGCCTTTTCAGAATCTCTCACACAGATATAAGCTTTCTTTCATTTGAGGCTCCAAAGTACCATGTTATTTTGAAGTATGCACATACCTCATTTATTGTGCTTTACAAGTATTGTGATTTTTACAAATCAAAGGTTTGTGGCAACCATGCTTTGTCAGATGATGGTTAGCACTTTTTAACAGTAAAGACATAAAGCCATTGCACACTTAATAGATTACAGTATAGTGTAAACGTAAATTTTATATGCACTGGAAAACCAAAAAACTTCATGTGACTCACTTGATTGCAGTATTTGCAGTGGTCTGGATTGAACCCACAATATCTCCCAGGTCTGCCTGTACTTGCTCTGGACTTTCACAACTTCACACATTTGCATATTATAAGTTTTCCTCCTGTGATTCACTTCTGTCCTGGCCAATAGTCCGGCTGAGCCCAGCCTGCCAGTCATCTTCACCAAGGTGTTAACCGGTGAATGAGGAAGCTGTCTTAACCCTCCTGACCAGCCCAGTCACCAGATAAATACCATGGAGTGGCCTCAGTTAATGCCATGTGAAGCAGAAGAACTGCCTGGGTGAGATTTGCAGGAATTCCTGACTTTTGTGACAATTGTGTGATATGATAATAGTGAAACAGGAGGGAAGGGGACAGGGCACAACCTTTGAAAGAATGACATAGCCTGAGGACATGACATAAACTGATTAGAACCAAATGGGTCCAAGATGGTGGACAAGGAGACTTCCACTAGACCTTGAGCTTCCGTATATGTTCACTGTAACACATCAGCAAGCTAAATGACATACCCACAGGTGCCATGACAGTTCCAAGACCGACCATAAGGGTCAAAAAGTGGGTGGTGGCCCAATTCCTAGAAATCCCTGCCCCTTCCTGAAATAGCTGGAATACTCCTCCCACTCATTAGTCTATGAAATTACCCACCCCTATAAAAACTGACAACCCCATACCCTGGTGCCTTTCTCACCTTCTGAGATGGCCCACACTCTGTGGAGTGTTTCTCTCTAAATAAATCCACTTCTTACCTATCACTTTGTCTCTCACTGAATTACTTCTGTGAAGAGACATCAAGAACCTGAGCTTCATTAAGTCCTGAAACCAGGTGTGTGATCTCAGTTGGAAGACTGTGGGTTTTGGCCGGGTTCGAGTCCCGGCATGTGGGTTCAAGTCCCAATCTGAGGTGCACGGTTTCAATAAGGTTTTGTTTTAAGCCACTAGGTTGTAGGCTGCTTTGTCACACAGCAACAGATAACTGAAATGGTTCAGAAAATAAAAGTCTTTAATTTTGTTAATTATTTTCAAGTCTTTTTACAAAATTAAAAATATACACACACACAACTTAGAGAAGGGGAAGGGAACTAATATTTACTGAGCTCCTGTTTTGATTTCTGCCTGGCAATTTTATATGCATTATCTTATCTAACACTCAAGACAATCTAGCTTGTGTTACTATCTACATTTCTAAAAAAGAAGAAACCAAAGCCCAGAGAAGTTAACTTGCAGATGATCACACAGCTTGTGAGTGGGGAGAGTAGGGGCGATTGAATGGCCAGTCTTTATATCCAGCTAAAAAATCCATGTTTTTGTCGCCATCTCACATCCCTACACCACCTCTCTTGTCTCAGACTGTGACCTACATTCCACTTAATGTGACATAATATGCGCTTCTTCATGTCGCAGAGTCTTCAAAACCTTGCTTTTATTTTTTTAAATTTTATTTATTTATTTACTTTTGGCTGTGTTGGGTCTTCGTTGCTGCATGCGGTCTTTCTCTAGTTGCGGTGAGCGGGGGCTACTCTTCATTGTGGTGCGCGGGCTTCTCATTGAGGTGGCTTCTCTAGTTGCGGAGCATGGGCTCTCGGCATGAGGGCTTCAGTAGTTGTGGCACGTGGGCTCAGCAGCTGTGGCTCACGGGCTCTAGAGTGCGGGCTCAGTAGTTGTGGCGCATGGGCTTAGTTGCTCCGCAGCATGTGAGATCTTCTCGGACCAGGGCTTGAACCCATGTCCCTTGCACTGGCAGGTGGATTCTTAACCACTGTGCCACTAGGGAAATGGCCCAAAACCTTCCTTTTAAATGGCAGCATATTATTCCAACCATAGTTTACATACCATTCCCCTATTGTTGAGTATTTACATTCCTTCCAAATCTTTTTGCCATTAAAAGGAATTCTGACAGTTGCATAGTGTTGATATAGAGTAGGAATTTTAGAGGGAGGGGTGGGCCATTCTTTGGTATTACTAGGAATCTCATTTACAAGACTCCACCTCCAGCCCCCTCCACAGTCCTCTCCACCCTGACTGCCTTAATGAACCTTATCACCAGCAGTCACCTAAGGAGAGTGTCACAGGCAGAGCAGAGAAGGGGGCGGGAAAAAAAATTCCCTTGGAATTCATACCCATTCAAGCCAGATGAGTTAATCACCTTTTAACAATTTAATGCAGACCTCATAGATCTTAAATAGTTTTGACAGCTGGAAAATTAAGGTTGTGTCAGGATTCTTGTTGGTTTTGAAAAGATTATAAATCCTCTTATTTCAAAAGGGCCAGGTGAAAGGTTTTTAAATCCTGTTAAGAATTTTAGCTGGTATCCTGAGAGCAATGAGTAACCTTTGAATGGTTTTAAACAGGGGAGTGATAACCTGATCTGATTTTTTGATCCAAAAAAAAAAACACCCTGGTTTGGAGAGCAGGGTTTAGTGATTAATGGGATGGAGGTGAGGAACAAGGAGTACTCTAGCATGACCCTAGGGCTCTGCCCAGGGCAGCTGGGTGGGTAAGATGAGAAGCAGAAAAGGAAGGGAACGATAAGTAGCTCTTTCTTGGACCAGGTGAGCTAGGCGTGCCTGAGGGCAGGGCCTGGGGCAGGCTGTGATGGGGGCAGGCAAGCAGGCTGACTTCAGATGCTTATGCCCCAGGGCTCTGGCTGGCTGGCTACTTGGTCACAGGGACTGAAGCCCAGAAGGAGGGACCCATAGGCCAGGCCAGCTCATGGAATCAGAGGGTTCTAGGAAGGCACAGCTGGCCCAGCAGAAGAACTGAGGACACTGGGGAAGGCCCTGAGTCCATGAGGCCTTAGTAACCCAGAGACTGTTAATCCCCTCCTTTCTACCAAGGGACCAGGACTACCCCATCTTCAGGGACTGTTCGTGCTAGAGGTCATCAAGTCCCTGGAACTTTTCAGTTTGAAGATTCTGATTCTATACCTAAAGGAAAGCACCAGCTCAGATGTAGCCCCAGGAAGAAAATCCCCTGGGTCCCTGCCCTCCCAAAGATCTACAGCCAGCCAGTGACAAATACCAAGGTGACTAGCACAGGCTGGGATCAGTGCTTTAAGAGAGATACAAACCTGGGAAAGGCAGAGTTTAATTCCATCTGGACGCCTGGAAAGGTGAAGAAGTGATGGCGGCCCTAAAAAACAGGTTGACTTCCACAGGGAGACAGGAGAAGGCAGAACAGTCTAAGAGGCAATGGTCAATGAAAAAGTCCAAAGAGGGGAAATACAGGACTTGCGGGAGACAGAGAAACTTTGCAGTGGCATGATTCTTTCCAGATGCAAGGAGGCACAGCTGTTCATACAGCTCAGACTCACAAGACTGTGAGGGTCTGGGGCAACAATCCAAACTTGGCCCCCAAATCATCTTCATCATCAGTGGCTAAAATCAAAATTTCCTGTGACATCATCTGGGAAAAATGCTAGGCAGCTCGTTCTGAGCTTGCCCTGTCCCCACCTCCAAAAGCAACTTTCCAGAGCATTTGGATGTGCATTTGTTGTACTAGCTTCATCTCTCCCTGCCTTACTTTCCTACCTGTAGTTTTCCTTTTGCCTTCTTTCTATTTAAGCCTTTAGATGAGGAAATAAGGTATGTAAAAATAAACCTGTAAAACACTAAATCATATTTTTCAAAACCATTCCAATGTCCACCAAATCTCAAAGGGGCCATGAGTCTCATGGGTGGATCCAGACAGAGCAAGGGTCCAGGAGAGGACCCTAAATGAAGTGCAGGAAGGAGCAGGCTTAGGAAGGGGACTCTGGGGACAGTGCTTTGAGTGTCCTCAGGAACCTCGGAAGTCCGAGGAACACAGGAAGTCCTCAGGAACCTCGGAAGGTTATCAAAGTCGACATGCACCTGGAGTCAGCTTCCACCGAGGCTGGTCAGGTAAGACCAAATGCCAGGTCGTTTTCATCCAAATGTCACACTCAAGGGTAAAGGGAGGAGATTTTCAGTCTGCACATTTTCCACACCCAGGAAACGAGGTTCCCTTTTGTGTAGGCCATCCTGGGGAATGTGAGGACCCAGGGACCTGGGAATTGAGTTGGAATATGGTGATAAGCATTCTCGGAGCCATTGCAGATTTGTTGCAGTTTGGTGGAGCAGGACAAAGTAAGCTGGTATCAGAGCTTCTTTGTCATGGATGTGGGGCTAGGGGAGACGGAAGGGCACAGCATCACTAAGAACCTTTAATTAACTTTGCCATTTTACTGAGAACTTACAAGCAGCGGTATTCTTCATTGAGCTGCGTTTGGCAGCAGCTTTAATATATAAGCTTTGATTGTATCTTATTGATTTATATTATTTTACAATTGGTTACGTGACATGCTTTTTGTTCCTCCAGGGACAAGACCCACAGAGGCCCATAAGGAGGAGGTTTGCCAACAACAAGGGTGAAAGCTCCCAGCAGCCTCACAAAAAGTTTCCAGTTTCTACCCTCTGGCACTTCTCAGGCTGGGCATCCCACTACATGGAGATGTCTGCCTGAGGATGGGCCCGGGGGGTGGACGGGGGTGCGGTGCAGACCCCAGAATCATACCATCTTGGAGGAACTCCACACAGGAGGTTGGTCCAACTCATCAAAATACTTTCTTCCTCTGTGTAACCATTTGACTAGGGGCTAATCAATGATTCCTTGAGGCTACGCCAGGCACCTCCCTCAAACCCCAGACTGGGGAGTAGGCCAGCAAGTCGAATTCTGTTGGGCTGAGAGGGAGGGTGCCTCCTCATCTCAGAAGACTGAGCGGACGTCAGGTAGCACTGAGGTCCTCAGAGGAAGCCACGGGAGCTCTAGGCAGATGGGTACTTTGTGGTGGCTATTTGCGTCCAGCCATTTTGAGGTCACAGGTAATTTTGAGATTTGAGAGAAGAGGCCAATATACCAAGTGATTTCATATTTAGTAACTACAATTACGCAGCATAAAGATTTAATTTTTTTAATTGTCTTTTTAAAAATTTTATTTATTTTTTTATACAGCAGGTTCTTATTAGTTATCCATTTTATACACATCAGTGTATACATGTCAATCTCAATCGACCAATTCATCACACCACCACCCCCACGCCCCTGCCACTTTCCCCCCTTGGTGTCCATACGTTTGTTCTCTACATCTGTGTCTCAGTTAATGCCCTGCAAACTGGTTCATCTGTACCATTTTTCTAGGTTCCAATATATGCATTAATATATGATATTTGTTTTTCTCTTTCTGACTTACTTCACTCTGTGTGACAGTCTCTAGATCCAACCACGTCTCTACAAATGACCCAATTTCATTCCTTTTTATGGCTGAGTAATATTCCATTGTATATATGTACCACTTCTTCTTTATCCATTCGTCTGTCGATGGGCATTTGAGTGGCTTCCATGACCTGGCTATTGTACATATTGCCGCAATGAACATGTGTCTTTTTGAATTATGGTTTTCTCTGGGTATATGCCCAGTAGTGGGATTACTGGATCATATGGTAATTTTATTTTTAGTTTTTTAAGGAATCTCCATACTGTTCTCCACAGTGGCTGTATCAATTTACATTCCCACCAACAGTGCAGGAGGGTACCCTTTTCTCCACACCCTCTTCAGCATTTGTTGTTTGTAGATTTTCTGATGATGCCCATTTTAACTGGTGTGAGGTGATACCTCATTGTAGTTTTGATTTGCATTTCTCTAATAATTAGTGATGTTGAGCAACTTTTCATGTGCTTCTTGGCCATCTGTATGTCTTATTTGGAGAAATGTCTATTTAGGTCTTCTGCCCATTTATTGATTGGGTTGTTTGTTTTTTTAATATTGAGCTGCATGAGCTGTTTATATATTTTGGAGCTTAATCCTTTGTCTGTTGATTCGTTCGCAAATATTTTCACCCCTTCTGAGGGTTGTCTTTTTGTCTTGTTTGTAGTTTCCTTTGCTTTGCAAAAGCTTTTGTTTCATTAGGTCCCATTTGTTTTTTGTTTTTTTTTTTATTTCCATTACTCCAGGAGGTGGATCAAAAAAGATCTTGCTGTGATTTATGTCAAAGAGTGTTCTTCCTATGTTTTCCTCTAAGAATTTTATAGTGTCTGGTCTTACATTTAGTCTCTAATCCATTTTGAGTTTATTTTTGTGTATGGTGTTAGGGAGTGTCCTAATTTTATTCTTTTACATGTAGCTGTCCAGTTTTCCCAGCACCACTTTTTGAAGAGACGGTCTTTTCTCCATTGTATATCCTTGCCTCCTTTGTCATAGATTAGTTGACCATAGGTGCGCGGGGTTTATCTCTGGGCTTTCTATCCTGTTCCATTGATCTATATTTCTGTTTTTGTGCCAGTACCATATTGTCTTGATTACTGTAACTTTGTAGTATAGTCTGAAGTCAGGGAGTCTGATTCCTCCAGTTCCGTTTTTTTCCCTCAAGACTGCTTTGGCTATTTGGGGTCTTTTATGTCTCCATACAAATTTTAGGTTTTTTTCTTCTAGTTCTGAAAAAAAATGCCACTGGTAATTTGACAGGGATTGCATTGAATCTGTAGATTGCTTTGGGTAGCATAGTCATTTTCACAATACTGATTCTTCGAATCCAAGAACATGGTATATCTCTCCATCTGTTTGTGTCATCTTTGATTGCTTTCATCAATATCTTATAGTTTTCTGAGTACAGGTCTTTTACCTCCATAGGTAGGTTTATTCCTAAGTATTTTATTCTTTTTGTTGCAATGGTAAATGGGATTGTTTCCTTAATTTCTCTTTCTGATCTTTCATTGTTAGTGTATAGGAATGCAAGAGATTTATGTGCATTAATTTTGTAACGTGCAACATTACCAAATTCATTGATTAGCTCTAGTAGCTTTCTGGTGGCATCTTTAGGATTCTCTATGTATAGTATCATGTCATCTGCACACAGTGACAGTTTTACTTCTTCTTTTCCAATTTGTATTCATTTTATTTCTTTTTCTACTCTGATTGCCTTGGCTGGACTTCCAAAACTATGTTGAATAATAGTGGTGAGAGTGGACATCCTTGTCTTGTTCCTGATCTTAGAGGAAATGCTTTCAGGTTTTCACCATTGAGAATGATGTTTGCTGTGGGTTTGTCATATATGGCCTTTATTATATTGAGGTAGGTTCCCTCTATGCCCACTTTCTGGAGAATTTTTATCATAAATGTGTGTTGAATTTTTTCAAAAGTTTTTTTGCATCTATTGAGATGATCATATGGTTTTTATTCTTCAATTCGTTAATATGGTGTATCACATTAATTGACTTACGTATATTGAAGAATCCTTGCATACCTCAGATAAATCCCACTTGATCATGGTGTATGATCCTTTTAATGTGTTGTTGGATTCTGTTTGCTAGTATTGCGTTGAGGATTTTTGCATCTATATTCATCAGTGATATTGGTCTGTAATTTTCTTTTTTTGTAGTATCATTGTCTGATTTTGGTATCAGGATCATGGTGGCCTCATAGAATGAGTTTGGGAGT